GAGCTTTTGCCGTCTGAGCTTTTGCCGCCTGAGCTTTTGCAGTCTGAGCTTATTCCGTTGGAGCTTTTGCCGTCTGAGCTTTTGCCGTTTGGGCTTTTGCTCATTGGGCTTTTGCTCGTTGGACTTTTTTTCGTTGGGCTTTTGCTCGTCGGGCTTTTGTTCGTTGTGCTTTTTCCCTTTAGACTTTTTCCTTTTAGACTTTTTCCCTTTAGGTTTTTCCCTTTAGGCTGTTCCCTTTTAGCTTTTGGCCTTTGAGCTTTTGGCCTGTGAGCTTTTGCTGTTTGAGCTTTTGCCGTTTGAGCTTTTGTCGTTTGAGCTTTTGCCGTTTGAGCTTTTGCCGTTTGAGATTTTGCTCGTTGGGCTTTTGCTCTTTGGGCTTTTGCTCCTTGGGATTTTGCTCCTTGCGCTTTTGCTCTTTGGGCTTTTGCTCTTGGGGCTTTTGCTCTTGGGGCTTTTGTTCTTTGGGCTTTTCCTATTTACGCTTTTCCCTGTGAGCTTTTGGCCTGTTAGGTTTTCGACTGGGAGCTTTTGCTGTTTGAGGTTTTGCTGTTTGGGCTTTTGCCGTTTACGCTTTTTCTCGGTGGGCTTTTGCTCATTGGGCTTTTGCTCTTTGGGCTTTCCCTATTTACACTTTTCCCTGTGTGCTTTTGGCCTGTGAGGTTTTCGACTGGGAGCTTTTGCTGTTTGAGCTTTTGCCGTTTGGGCTTTTGCTCTTTGGGCTTTCCCTATTTACACTTTTCCCTGTGTGCTTTTGGCCTGTGAGCTTTTGGCCTTTGAGTTTTGGTTTGTGAGCTTTTCACCTGGGATCTTTTGCCCTTTGAGCTTTTGCTGTTTGAGCTTTTGCCGTCTGAGCTTTTGCCGTTTGAGCTTTTGCTCTTTGGCTTTTGCTCTTGGAGCTTTTGGTCTTTGGGCTTTTCCTATTTAGGCTTTTCCCTGTGAGCTTTTGGCTTGTGAGGTTTTCGCCTGTGAGCTTTTGCCGTTTGAGCTTTTGCCGTTTGAGCTTTTGCCGTTTGAGCTTTTGCCGTCTGAGCTTTTGCCGTTTGGGCTTTTGCTCGTTTGACTTCTGCTCGTTGGGCTTTTGGTCGTTGGGCTTTCGCTCGTTAGGATTTTTCTCGTTGGGCTTTTGCTCCTTAGGCTTTTGCTCTTTGGACTTTTGCTCTTTGGGCTTTTCCTATTTAGGCTTTTCCCTATTAGCTTTTGGCCTTTGAGCTTTTAGCCTGGGAGCTTTTGCCGTCTGAGCTTTTGCCGTCTGAGCTTTTGCCATTTGGGCTTTTGCTCGTTGGACTTTTGCTCGTTGGACTTTTGCTCATTGGACTTTCGCTCGTTGGGATTTTTCTCGTTGGGCTTTTGCTCCTTGGGCTTTTGCTCTTTGGGCTTTTCCTGTTTAGGCTTTTCCCTGTGAACTTTTGGCCTGTGACCTTTTGGCTTGTGAGGTTTTTGCCTGGGGG